AGAGCAAGACCCTGTCTCTAAAGAAAAAAATTCATTATTAATAATTAATTAAAGTAAATAAATAGGTAAGAAATTCATCCCCAGCCCATCTTCTATGCCCAAGCGGTACAGTGACTCCTCCCCCGCCGGGGGCTTACCTCTGTGTGGCTACAGGTGGCAGGTGCCCTGGCCGAGGCAGGCGTGGGGCTGGAGGAGATCGCAAAGCAAGTGAGCATGGTCGCCAAGGCCATGGGTGAGTGCCAGCCTGGGGACTGGGGAGGAGCAGGTTCCTGTCGGCTGCATGGGGGGCTTTCCAGGGCATTCCCTAGGAGCTGAGGGAGGGCGTCCCTGGGGGAGCTCCTGAGGACTGGTGGCCTCGAGTACAGAGCTTGGTTCTCTCTCATCGCTGAGATGAGTCTGAAAGCCTTTGTCAGAGGACAGGACGCCTGTGGGCTCCCGAGGTATTGCCACCGCCCTTCCTGATGCCTGACACCAAAAACAGAGGAGTCATCCCTTTCATGCCTCGTTTCTCACAGGTACCCTGGGGGTGAGCCTGTCCTCCTGCAGCGTCCCTGGTTCCAAACCCACTTTCGAGCTCTCAGCTGATGAGGTCGAGCTGGGCCTGGGTAAGCTTGTGGCCACCCCGTGTCAGCCATGCCTGCCTTGGGTTTTCCCCACCACCTATACCCTGGGAGCCATCTATCCAGTCCTCTCTGCCCACCCGGAGCTCTCCCCAGGTGGTCTTAGTATTTTTCACCTGGGCACTTGAGGCCCAGCCTGGCCCAGCCTTCCGATTTCTACCTGCTTTGCCATCCACACCCAGGGCTCCAGGCGGGTGTGTACTGCCCGCCTCCTTGCCTTTGCTCACACATTCCAGGGTCTTCCTGCCCCTGCCAAAACTCACCCTGCTTTCAAGGGCCGTCCAAAGTCCGCCCCAGCTACAAACATTCCCCCTCCTTCCCTGTGCTTCCGAAGTGATGGGCATCGCCTCCTGTGGCCCTGCCTAACTTTAGAGGCCTCACTGCCTGTAGTTAAAGTGATCTCCACCGCCAAGCCACCAGCTCCCAGAGAGCAGAGACCATGTGTGTTTCGTTATTCTGTCCACTTCCCTCCCCTCTCCCCACTTACACAGTACCTAGCCTAGTGCAGAGCACCGAGCAAGTTCGTGATAAAAGTGTGATAAGCGAATCCCCAGGCCCTGAGTGGGTCAGCAGTGACCTCCTCTATCCACAGGGATCCATGGGGAAGCTGGTGTGCGCCGGATAAAGGTAGGTGGACTCCCTGGCCCAGCCTACTTAAGGCCGAGGACCCCCAGACACAGCTCACTCCTGGCTCCCTCTGACAGATGGCAACGGCCGACGAGATCGTGAGGCTCATGCTCGACCACATGACAAATACCTCCAACGCGTCCCACGTGCCTGTGCAGCCCGGTGAGTAGCTTGTCATCCCTGTCTCCCAACCCTCCCTACCCCGCAGTGCAGGAGGTGCCCCAAAAGCCTCACCTGGGGTGTCGTGTCTACCCACAGGCTCCTCGGTGGTGATGATGGTCAACAACCTCGGTGGCCTGTCATTCCTGGAACTGGGCATCATAGCTGATGCTGTCGTCCGCTCCCTGGGTGAGCCCCGCACTGGGCATGGGACCCTCCAGCCCTTTGACGCTGGTCATAAGAAAAGCAGCTGAGGTAGGGTCTTGTGACGGCACAGAACACGGCTGTGCGATCAGATGAGCCTGAGTCAGATCGTCACTCTGCCACTTCATTGCTGGGTACCTTGAGCCTCTGTTTTCTTGTCTGTGTATTGGGGGTAATAATAATAGTACCTGCCTTATGTGGTTGTCATGAGGATTAAATGTGATTAAACATTTGTAAGATGCTTAACAGTGCCTGGCACCTCGAGAGAGCCCAGTAAGAGACCTATAATTACTCGTCTGTCCCTCAGAGGGGACACTTCCAGGGAATGTGGTCATTGGGGGGTATCATTGTGGGATGCCCTGAGGAAATTGTGCCATCTCCCTACTGACCTCAGGGCCCCAGCTCCTAAGATCCTTGCTTTTCTGTTCCTCTCTTTCTTTCCCTGGTGCCCGTCGCTCCCTCCTGGACTTCCATGCTCTGGTGTTGCAGAGGGCCGCGGAGTACAGATTGCCCGTGCCCTGGTGGGCACCTTCATGTCGGCCCTGGAGATGTCTGGCTTTTCCCTCACCCTCCTGCTGGCGGATGAGCCCCTCCTGAAACTGATAGGTGAGACCTGGAACTTGGGGTCACCAAAGCCTGGAGTTCATGTAGCTGGAAGGAGCCAGGGAGACTTGTAGAGACCCCCAACAGGGCTGACCCTGACCCTTTCTGGCTTCTCCAGCCTTCCCCAGCTCTCCCTGGACTATGGAGTGTTGGTGTTAGGCTCCTCCTCGCATCAACCGGACCCTTTCCCCAGGGACCTTCCCTCCTTCCGCTTGTACACAGTAGGCACTCAGTGCATACTTGTTGAGATGGACTCTCTTCCTCTGGGGCTGCTGAGGGAGCTCTGCTTAATGCCTGGCTGGCAGCCGAGTCTAAGAGAGTTATCTTGCTGTCCTAGATGCTGAAACCACCGCAGCAGCCTGGCCTAACGTGGCCAAGGTCTCCGTGACGGGGCGGAAGCGGAGCCGGGCAGCCCCCAGTGAGCCCCAGGAAGCCCCTGGTTCCACTACAGCAGGAGGTACCAAGCCCTGCTGTTGGGGAAAGGGCAGGCTTCCCAAAGGACACAGGACTGTGCAGTGGGGCACACAGGGGCCCTGGCACCCACGCCTCCCACTCTGGTTGTTTGGTCATGAGGAGGGCTGGGCAGGCCTCTTCCCTGCCATTTTTCCTTTCTAGGCTTAGCCTCAAAGCGGATGGCACTTGTGCTGGAACAGGTGTGTGCCACCCTCCTGGGCCTGGAGGAACATCTGAACGCCCTGGACCGGGCTGCTGGTGATGGGGACTGTGGTACCACCCACAGCCGTGCAGCCAGAGGTTGGAACCAGGGCCCCTGTGAGGTCCCGAGTTGGGGTGGTACGGCAGGCATACTGGTTCTTAGATTTTGGCATTTCATGAAACAAAACAATTTCCAAAACATTTGAGCGCTGACTTGGAGTTGCCAACTTTTACTTTGCCAAGTGAGGTCATTCACAAAACCCTAGCACCCCTGTCATGGTTTTCCTAAAGGACCGCCTACGCTACAAGGAGGAGGTCATTATCTCAGAAACAAACAATCCTTGACAGTGAATAACTTACAACTGAAGGAGAATGCATTCTGTTGTCCTTACTTTTCTCCATTAACCAGACCAGTGAAAAGCTCTTAGCTGCCCACCAAGATTCGTTCAAGAGAAAGGTCTTTGGTACCTGCCATGGGCCAGGCACTGCTCTCAGCTCTGTGGATACAGCAGTGAGCAGAGCAGACAGAAATCGCTGCCCTCGTGGCCCGTGTGCTGGGAGGACAGACAGAGTAGACAATAGAAATCAGTGGAACGCACAGGTGTTAGTGCAGAGGGCCAGGGGGACAAAACGAAGCAAGGAAGCAGAATAAGAATGTCAAGCTGAGGGTGCTGGGGCAGGCCTCACCTGCTGGGCAACTCCCTCCAGGTCCCATTGCCAGCGCCCTCCAGGCTGCACGCTGGGTGTGGAAAGGGAGCCTTGGGATCCCTTCGTCCTGGTCCTCTCGTCCCCTCGCAGCCCCCATTCACTCTGGCTGGCAGTCAGGCCTGGGTGCTCAGTGGGGTCCAGGCAGATGGAGCGGAGGTCTCTGAATTCCTGTCTCTCTCTGCCTGCAGCGATCCAGGGGTGGCTGAAGGAGGGCCCACCCCCTGCCAGCCCTGCCCAGCTGCTCTCCAAGTTGTCCGTCCTGCTGCTGGAGAAGATGGGAGGCTCCTCCGGGGCAGTGGGTGCTGGCAGCCCCAGGGCTGAAGGGCTGAGGGGAGGGCTCTGGGTGGCCAGGGTCCAGGCCGGCATGCTCAGCATTCTTGCCCTCCCCAGCTCTACGGCCTGTTCCTGACTGCAGCTGCCCAGCCCCTCAGGGCCAAGACTGACCTTCCAGCCTGGTCTGCTGCTATGGACGCCGGCCTGGAGGCCATGCAGAAGTGAGCCAGCGCCCTGTGCCTTAGACCAGGGTGGGCTGGGGGAAGTGATCAGTGTCATCTGCTCCTTGCCAGGCCCTGGCCCCACCCCCAGAGCGAGTCCCTTGGCTCCTGTAATAAGCCTCTTTCATTCTCTTTCCCTCCCAGGTATGGAAAGGCTGCCCCAGGGGACAGGACTATGGTGTGTACTTGGGCTGTAGCCCCAGCCTTTCCCCTTTTGAGCCTATAAGCCCTAAAGGCCACTCGCAGTGGCAGGGCCTCTCCTCAGCCCTCCCCTCCCTCACCTTGTCCAGCTGGATTCTCTGTGGGCGGCAGGACAGGAGCTCCAAGCCTGGAAGAGCCCAGGGGCCGATCTGTTCCAAGTCCTGACCGAAGCAGTCAAGGTGAGTGAGGCAGGGCCCAGCCACCTGGGGAGACAGGCTTGGAGCCACCAGGTGCCCGTGTCCATGTGACCCTGAGCACGTTAATAACCTGCCTGCACCTGAGTTTCTTCCTCTATGAAACGGAGATAAGCATCTATCTCACAAGGCTGCTGTGAGGCTAAGGAGGTCTGTAGAGCCCAGCACAGTGCCAGGGACATAGTAGGGCCTCAGTAAATGGTGGCCCCTTTCCCTGGTAGAAGTAGATGAAAGGTAACCTTTCACTTGGTGACAGTGCAGAGGGTGCTGGCAGAGATGGGACAAGAGGGTCCAGGGCCAGCCTGCACAGCACTCTGCCCATAGCCGGAAGGAGAGGCCTGTGGGCCTGCCCTTGAGCCTACTCCCACCCCTACCCCCTCAGAGTGCTGAAGCTGCAGCTGAGGCCACCAAGAATATGGAAGCAGGAGCTGGAAGAGCCAGTTACATCAGCTCTGCACGGCTGGACCAGCCGGACCCCGGGGCCGTGGCAGCTGCCGCCATTCTCCGTGCCATCCTGGAGGTCTTGCAGAACCAGGGTGTGTGACTGCTTTCCTGGGCCTCAGCTCCTCTCACTCCCGTGCTGAGGTGGCCATTGTCACCCCCCTTCTGCCTTTGAACCATCACCATCCCTCTCCTAAGCCCCCATGGCCTGTTCCCCCTCTGAGTTCGCAGGAACTCCTCCAGCAAGCCGCCAGAGCTACTCCACTGCGGAGACGGCAGCCAAAGCCAAGTAGGCCACGGGCTTCTCCAACTCTGCCCTTTCCCTCCTCGGGAGGGTAGAGTCCCTGTGTCACCCCACCCTGTCCCAGCCAGCTGTGGGCTCCAGAGATAAGGCATTTGCCCTCAGCCACAGCACAGCTTGTCACTGGCAATGCTGTTTGGTTTCCAGGCTCCCTGTGAAAGGCCTTCTGCACGGGAACCCCAGTCGATAAGAAAAGAAAGCTAACAGAGCACACTCAAGCAATAAAGCCCCTGCTTCCTCTAAGGGACCTTTTGCAAAGTGTGTGAACAGGTTGGCCCACAGATGCCCAGGGGCTGAGCTGGCGGCGATGATCGTGACCCGTCTTCTACCAAGCAGCGCATTACCACCCACGCCCCAAAGGCAGGGCCTGCTTGGCTGGGCTGATTCTGCTGGGATCTGCTGTGTCCAGTACACACATCACGCCTTGTACGTGTAGGAATGGTAGAAGGCTTTTCTCAGCACAGAGTTAATACTAATAATTCCTTGGGGATTGAACGGGCATTTGGGACACCAGAAGGAAAAAAAGTCACCATATTCTAAGGTTCAGTTGTAGCTGAGAAACTGCAGCCCAGCCAGCCCCCACTGACAGCACCTGGGCAGGAGGTTGCCGACTGTGGCGTGCAGTGGAGACGTACAGCACACGCCTGGGGCGTCCTCAGTGTGGGGCGTGGTGCGAGGCACTGGGTGTGGACACGCACACAGTTTGCAGGCTGGTTCTGCATTAACCAAGCTATGAGAACTCAGGCCTATTATCGAGTTTCTTGGAATCTGTAAAATCAGAAGGTACCAGCCCACCACGACATGAAAGGATTCAGATGAGTTGGCAAAGGTGAAGCCCCAGCACAGTCCAAGTGTCCACTCCCTGGGAGTTACTGTCATTACCAGTGTCAGCCACTCCACCACCGTCTGTCACACTAGCATCACCTACCTGGTCCAGATTTGGCTGCAGGCGCCTCAGCCCTGGGCTTCCCTCCCCGGGATCATCGTCCGCACCACACATCCCTGAGCACGAGGCAAGCACCAGCGCACGCAGGGTTATGCCACAGGCTGGGAAGGAGTCTGGCCCCAGACAGGGCCCGTGGATCCCAAGTCTGCCATTCCCTGGCTGGGTGATCTCAGGCCACTTACCCTGTTTGAGTCCTGTTTTCCAGATTGTAAATAGGAAAGATTTCCTTCCTCATGAGATAATCAAGTACTCAAAAGTCATTAGTTATTAAGGACATCCACATGTAAGTGAGTCACATGTCATTCCATAAAGACAATCACATGGCTCTTTGGTGCCTTCCCATTGGCCCTTCCCCAGGTCTGTGAGGGTCAGACCTGTCCTGAGGCTTTCACAGGTTGCCCCAGAACTCATTTTACCACAGTGCATTTCATCAGACGGGGCTATAATTACAGACTGAATGTTGCGTCCCCCAAAATTCCTATGTTGAAATCCTCACCCCGAACGTGATGGTATTAGGAGGTGGGCCTTTGGGAGGTGACTAGATCATGAGAGTGGAACCCTTATGAATGGGGTAAGTGACACCTCATCAAAAAGGCCCCAGAGCTCTGTGATGTTATGGCGAGAAGACGGTCTATGGGGAAGGGCCCTCAGCAGGCACCGAACCTACCAGTGCCATGATCTTGGACTTCCAGCCTCTAGAAATGCAAGAAACAAATCATTGTTGTTTAAGCCACCCAGTCTATAATATTTTTGTTATAGCAGCCCAAACAGACTAAAACAGCTTTGATTCTTAAAAACACGTTTAATGAAAAATCAAGCTTTATGAACCAGTGAAATGCCCACACATAGGGAAAGGGGGAGCGTTCACGTGAGCACAGTGGCTGGCAGTCATCCCAATGGCTTTGAAGGTGTCATCGCATCAGGAAGTTCAGTCTTGGCCCTTCTGCCAACATCTCGCGACGTGGGGCTGGGCTGGACAGTCGGCCTCATCACTACTCGCCAGCAAGTAGGTGGGCTCCAAACCCAGGCTTCCCACTTGTCTACTAAGCACAGCAGTGCAGGGCCTGGGATCTGGCAGGGCTTGTTTGGAGAAGGCAAGAAAAGCCACAACAGCAACACGTAGGAGAGGAGTGAGGCTCCTCCCTCCCCAGCCCAGCTCCCCCTCAGGAGAAGAGCAGCAGCTCACACTCGGACACAGCACAGAAGACTGGGTTTAGCCAGGCATGCAGCCATTGTAGGGGCAGGTTAAGAGCTTTGGTTCTCAGCAAGGAACCCCTCTGAGGGTGGCAGTGGCTCCCAGGGCTCTGCTGGACATAGGAGGCCACAACTTTGGCACCCGTTTTGTGGAGAGCTGGAGAGTGATCAGCAGGGCCAGGGCCCTGTCAAAAGAGCAAAGTTGGACCTGCCAAGGGGCAGGGCAGGACCCAGCAAGGAGAAGTAAAGGAAGTCCACAGCCACCTCTGTCACTCATCACTATTGGGACATCTGGGGACAGGTGGTCTGTTCTTGGGAGAGCAGGTTACCAGGGTTCGTGGGGCTGCCCGGTGGTGACAGGCATGTAAGCCACAGGGAAAGGCGGGGATCCAGGCCTCGGCTGTAGCAGCAGCTGGAAGAGGTGGAGCCACACAGTCACGATACACATAGGCACAGACGCAGTGACAGAAGGGCTCAGGGCGGTCAGCTTCCCAGCTGCTCCTCTGCGGAAGCCGCAACTGCCGCCCTTCTCCCCTTCTCCTGCAGTCACCTCACCATGTGAATCACATCCAGGAGGGGCTGGATGGGGACAGCTGCTCTGTGGCGGGACAGCCTAACTGAACTGCATGCCTTCAAGGGAAAGCTGATGGGTGTGTCACCTCCCTCATTTTCCACGTCATGGATTGCGTTGAGTCCCAGCTCTTCTGAGCTGTCGGGATTTCCCACAACAGCCCGAGGCCGTGTAAGGGGAGAGCAGCCTGACTTCCTCAGACAGAATGCAGGGGCTGCAGGAGCAGCCAGGGCAAGGAGGACCTTGTGTAAGTGGAGGACCTGAGACGTCGACGCCAAGAAGGGTACAGAAGTTGAAAAGCAGACAGGCAGCAAGTGACTGGAGAGAGGAGGCCCGGCACCAAGGCAAGGAGAAGTTTGGACCCAAAAAGGCTGTTGCCGACACCAGCTGGATGCCCCAGGTAGAGCAGAGCTTCTGAGGGGAGCACAGACCACACCACTGGGTGCTGCTGGGAGCCCCCACTTCACTCCCCATCGTGCAGCAGGGGCTGGAGAAACAGGCCAATGCACCAGTTAACAATATGTCAAAACGGCCCCCGCCCTGCAGGAGTCACGCTAAGCCTGAGCGGTTCAGATAGACCTCCGACCTGCAGGGTGGTCCCCGCCCAAGCCACCAAATCCTTCAGGAAACCCCAAAGTCTCTGATCCTGGCACACAACCCATCACCTACATTCCATAAAGACCTGTTCCAAGCACAAGGTTGTCACCAAGTACTGGTCCCATTAGACTAGCCCCAAAGCTGGTAAAGGAGAAATCACTGCACACCCTTGTCATACTCGAGCCCTTCCTGGGGAAGATAAGGCCACACTTCATGGAACCACAGGAATCTGGGGAGGGGAATTCTATCTCCCGATGGACAGGCCCCTGAGAGCCCCGGGGCTTTGCTGGGATGGGCTGGTTTGGTACCAGTGCCCGTCGCCACCCTAGCTCTACCTTCCAGCTACTTAGTCTTCCCGCCGTGCTCCTGTGTTGGCCTTCTTGGCAAGGCCTGAGCCTTTCCTGGGTGACCTTTCTCTAGACCCAGCCCTATCCCACCTGGCAAGGGGGACAGGAAACCATACCTGTCTGTCAGTCAGGATCCCTGGCTCTGGGCGCTTCCAAGAGGACGCCAGAAGGATGTAGAGCACCAGCAGCCCGAAGGTCACCACCAGCATCCCAGTGCAGTTGGCAAAGACAGCCTGGCTGGGCAGGCTGGAGTACGGCTTGGTGGCGTTTTTCCTAGAGATGACAAAACAATGCAGGCCCTTGAGAGAATTTTCCACGTGTTTTTGCCCAGTAGGAGACTCAATGCCACCAAGGGAAGATGAGAAAACCTTCCCAGGGCCACCTGTGACCTGGAATTTAAATATACTTTCTAAGTCCCTGCCACAGCAACAAAGATCTATGTAATGCTTTTATTTATTTATTTATTTTATTTTTTGCACTTAAGAAACAGGGTCTTGCTATGTTGCCCATGCTGGACTTGAACTTCTGGGCTCAAGCAATCCTCCCACCTCAGCCTCCTGAGTAGCTGGGAGTACAGGCACACGCCACCATGCCCACTGTATAATGCTTTTCACCCCTGAGGAAACTGAAGCTCAAAGTGGCAAAATTACCTTGCCCAAAGTTACATAACTGGTAAATGACACAGCCAAGATCTAAACCCAGGCTGACCTCAAATCTTAGTTGCTTTTCACTACACTGCACTGCTCTGAAAGTACAGCGGTGGGGTTCAGGCATGCAGGCTCTGGAGGCAGACTGCCTCACTCGAGTCCCAGCTCTGCCACCTACTGGCTGTGTGCCCTTAGATAAGTTACTCAACCTCTCTGTTCCCTCATTTGTAAGTGGCAATGACAACACCAATGTTGTAGGGCAGGTGAGAGGATTAAATGTAGGGTGCTTAGAACAGTTTCTGACACATAGTAGGTGATAAGTCAACCTGTTGTCAATAAATATTTGCTGACCAATTTGCCAATCTTGACCTAAAGAAAGATCAATTCCGTTACCTTCCAGATCAGGAACGGACGGGCTCAACCCCCAAAGTTCTCTTCCCTTGGGTGGGTCCTATGATCCTAAAGTACATCTTTTGAAGACCCTATTCCCTCCCCTCCACCTCAGAGTCAGGGACCCCATTGCACTCACAAAGTGAAGAAAAGCTTCTCATTGATGCCGGAAATGACAGATGCAATGGACAGAGAGAGGATGGAAGCTCCAAAGAAGACGTGGATGGGTTTAAGGAGGCTGCGCAGCCACAGGGACGCCCAGGGCAGCAGGAAGATGGCAAAGCCCAGGAACCACTGTGGACACAAGGGAGGACGCATCTTACTGTACTGTGTGTGATCAAAGGTGCACCAGGTCATCCCACCCCTTCAGCACCTCCTCCTGTCGCCGTACCTCGGCCCCTCTTTCCCAGTGCAAACCCTCCCCCCAGGCACTGCCCACCACCATGGCTCGCTTCCTCACCGTGCCCTGTCTATTTCTATTACACCAGCAACAAGACCAGTACATGAAATGCTTTGCTCCAATCCTGCTCCCCGAGCAAACCCAGGCAGCCTTGTTTGTCTCAGTCCTTGCTCCTAAAACGCCTCCCTTGGCCTGACATCAGAATATGGAAACCACTTCTGGAATTGCTTCTGGGTCAGAGAGGTGGGAAAGGAGACAGTGGAAACCAGGTGGCTGCCGAGAGCCAGGGTGGCGCGTGCAGTCAGCACAGAGGGCCCGGGGAGCACAGACGGGCAGTGGGATGGGCGAGAGAAACAGGGTAAATGCTGGAGCCACCGACCCCCACAGCCCTTTAAACTGCCGGTTCTACAGGACATGCCCTGCAAGGCCCTCTCCAGACCATGAGCAGAGGGAACGTTTGGTCCCACAGCTGCCAGGCCTGGCAGTGGGAACCCAGAGGAACAGGGCGGAGAGAACCCACCTGGCAGGCAAAGAGGAAGACGGCAGTGATGCCCAGCCAGCTGTGCAGGGAGTAGAGGTTGGCAATGTGGTTGTGGTTGTGAAACTTGAACACAGCAACCAGCCCCACGACAGTGAGGCTGAAGGCCATCAGGTGCAGCGCTGCGTGGAGGAGCTTCCAGGGCAGCTTGGGCCCCAGCCATGACTGGGGCAGGCGGTACACCAGCGACCCTGCAGGAGACAGCGGTCGCAGGACTCAGCCTCCTCCCCTGTGCTCACGCGCACATCAGGGCAGTTACCCCAAGGGGATCTCACACAGCCTGCGGACGAGGGAAGGGGAAATGCTAGGGCACTGGTATCAACTCCTTGTCATCTGCTATCCCCTCGTCCTTTGTGGGACAGCAGTCAGCCATGAAGGGAGGACAGAAGGGCCAGTTAGAAAGGGAGGAGCAGATTTCTTAGACCTGCCATTTTGTCATTACAATTGCAAGTGCAGCTTGTATGCAGTTTCCGGGCTAAAAAGCACTGTCACAGTCATTATTTCATCACACTGCACCCTCACAACTGAGGCTGGTTGTCAGGAACAGGCATCAAGGTCAGACAACAACCTAGGTCCAAATCTGGGCTCTGCCTCTTAGCTGTCTGGCCTCTTCTTTCTACGTCTCAGTGTCCTCACAATACGGTGGCAGAGTTGAGTCACTGCAACACAGATCCTATGGCTGGCAAAGCCTAAAATATTTACTATCTGGCCCGTTACAGAAAAGCTTGCCGACCCCTGCCATAGGGTGTCTGTGAAGCTGCCCTTCTGAGATGCCCACATTCTTACCACTTCCCGCCCAAATGACAGCTGGGCCCAGTGACAGCCCAACCCACCCTTCCCCTATAGCCTCAAACCCAACACTGACAAAGGCCAGTCTTGGAGAGGGAAAGGCTGCCCAATCCAGGATTGGGCCATATCACACCTTCCTTGCTGACCTCTTACTCACCAGCTCCATAGAACACCACCATGCCAGCAACTGTGAGCACCGGGTGCCAGTTGAACGTGTGGGTGCTGCCATCCCAAGCAAAGCCACCACACCAGAACTGCATCCAGTAGGCAGTGAAGAGGATGCACATCGAGCCCAGGGACCCCAGCACCAGGCAGGACAGGTAAAACCACCCTGAAGCCATTCTGTTCAGGCACTCCTAGAAGAAGCGTAAGTCATAAGTCCCTGTTAGTCCAGGTGTGCCCCAAACACTGGCTAAAGGAAGTAACACTGACCTCGCTCTTGGCCCATGGGATGGAATCTTTTTGCTTCAGTGCCCCTGTCATCAGCCCAGGCACCGGCCCCATGAGGCCTGATGGCAAGGTGGGCCTGATCTCTGGTTACAGACAGTGGGTAAGGCCCGCCCAGCACCTGGCAGTCACAGAGCAGCAAGTTCAGGGCTATGGCAGGCCCTGGAGAAGGCCAGATGCCAAGGCCTTAGGAGCAGAGTCCTGGGATGAGTCTCCCTTCACAGGACCAGAAGGTAAAGAATTAGCACACCCAGAAAAGAAGGGACAGGAATCATAATCCGGGCTGGATCGCACAGATGCCCATGCCCTGGATTCTAACATAAGGAGGCAAAAATCACAATCTGAAAGGGGCAAACACACTATTATGCTAGCGGGGAAGAAGTCCTATGGGCTCCCACTTCTACAGAAAAGTTCTTCCCCAGATGGTGAACTCTGTGGGGCTAATCTTCACGGGGGAGGTGAGAGCAGGCCATCACTGCAGACCCCACAGTGCACACGGTGAGTTGGGTGATAGCCCTAAGCTGTCTCCAGGCCTGAGACTTCTGCTTTCCCCACCTCTGGGGAAAGTCCAGAGAAGAAAAGAGGAAGCAAGAACTCGTGGTCTAGAAAGCAAGAGGTTTATTTTGAGATTTCCACGTGTGCTCAATAAACTCAGAAACCAACTCTGGTTTCAGGCCTGGCAAATGCGTAAGCCCCTAAGGAGTTGCTTTTAAAAGCCCGGCAAGTGGGCAAAGCCACAAGACTGGCCCTGCTTGGGCCCAAGCCTCAAGGCAGTCACCCTGTCCCATATACTCGTGCCAAGAAGGCAACAATGTGGCCTCCTGCAGTTGAAGTCCCTCACTCTGAACCAGCTAACAGAGAAAAGTAGCCGATAACTCCCAAGAAGATAAAACATGTGACTGCTGACCTTTAGACCTATGGTAGGCTGATAGAATGGCTCCAAATATCACGAAGAGGGCACCTTGGGCAAATCACTTAACGTCTGCAGGACGCGGAGTCCTCATCTGAGAGAAAGGCATGGCAGTAAGAATAGTATTTATTAAACACCAAGTAAGAGTGCTGGAACCTTACACACATGGTCCCATCTGCTCCTCCTGACAGCCCTTTGAGGATTAGTATCCCCATTTTATAAATGAGGACACTAAGGCTCAGAAAGATTAAATAGCATCAGGACCCAGTGAATGGGCAGGGAGTTTCAAACTCTTGTCTGTTTGGCTTCAAGACCCACGATTTTTCCTCGACCACAGGTTGTCAGAAAATCAAGTAGGAGCCAAACATTGTGACTCTTCTTAGTTATTGCTGTCACAGTATTTTATCCTAACTACTAACAAAAACCTGAAGTTTATGGTTCCCATGCCTGCTCAGGCCTCTCAACAGCCCTGAGCAATGCCATGCCACCTCTCCCCTTGCCAGGTGTCCACCTAACCAGGAACAGATGCTGGGCTCTCACAAAGTGTCCTAAGTTGGCAGTATTCTCTGAGAAAGGAAGGTCCGAGGGCTGGGGAACAAAATACAAGCTTCCATGAGGCTGGCAGGAGAAAATCATGCCACCAGTTTCCTAGAAGCTTTGTGACTCAACTATTCAGCTCAGAAATTTGCTACCCATCCTTGAAGCTGTCCCCCCACCCCCAACAATTCCTGCAAGGGCCGAGGAAGTTTCAGGTCACCTGATGTTCAGTTAAAACACCCTCCATCCGCCAGTGACATGTTAAGTCAGCATTTAGGAGCTCTTGCTCAGCAGGCTCCATCCATCTGACAATATCTACTTCTACAACTTTTTTTTTCCTTTGTAAAAGGAAAAGTAAATATAGTCCAAAAGGGATTGTATTCACTCCCCTAGAAGAGGTCCTGGCTTGCTGTTCTGTGACAGACTTAAAATGGATGGTAGGGACACTTTCCTGACAGAAGGCTGTGAAGTTATACTGCTCTGCTCACAGGATGTAGATAAGCCCTGCTTATTACTGAAACAGAGAGCAAAGCAGGGGGAAAGGAAGGATGCAGTGAAAATTGCAATGCAGATGCTGAGAATATCCTCTCATTTGTTCTAAGAGCACAGGCTGGGCTATGATCTCAGGATGTGCTCGCCACAGTCTCCTGTTCTGCCCTCATTTTCTAGATCCCTATTTTAAGGCAGGGGTCAGCAAATTCTTCTGTAAAGGGCCAGGTCGTAAATATTTTAGGCTTTGTAGGACATATGGTCTCTGTCACAACTCTGCTGATGTGATACAAGAGTAGTCATAGACAATATCTTAACAAATGAGCATGGCTGTGTTCCAATAATGTTTTATTTATGAACAATGAAATCTCAAGTTTCATATAATTTTCATGTCACAAAAATATTATCCTTTTCATTTTTTTTCAGTCATTCGATTATGTAAAAACTGTTCAGGTGGGGCACATTTGGCCTGTAGGTTGTAGTTCATTGATCCTGATCTTAGGAGTCTAAGATCCAACTTAATACCCTCCTCAATTCCTTGGCAGAAAGGACTCTTCCAGGCTGAGCTAAAACAGGTCAGGCCCAGGGGTAAGAAATGGGTATTTCCCATTCAGCCCTTAGACTTAGAAAAAGGTTCTATTCCAAATTACTGCAATGTTACTTTTATAATTTACAACTACAAATAGATGAAGGGGCAAAAAATCAGTTTCTCCCCTTCCCAAATGGATGGGGGGGACTTTAAGAATCCTGAGAACCAGACTTACAGTACAAATACTAAACCCTTATCTCATAGATCAAAAACACTAACACGGGCCCAAAGAAGGAAAGCGACTCAGCCAAGGTGAGTGGCAGAGCTAGTACAGGAATTCAGGTCCACTCCCCTTCAGCTCTGAGGGCTCCTTATTTCCAAATGTGGCTTCCGTTAAAGTCAGAACTCAGGAGCGAGCGGCCCAATATTACAGCCAGGAGATAGGTAAGTGAGGTCCTCCCTAGCACCAGAGTAATTACAGTCCCGTCCTTCTGACTGCACAGCTCTGGCTGGCTCAGGTGTCCGAAAAAGAACCGTTCCAGGCATCCGGGGTCGGATCTCTGACCCCTCAACTGGGGGCTTAGTGTCAGCTAACATTGGGTGAAAACTGGGGCAAGGGGCTTCTCCTGCTTTCTGCGCCTTCCGAAGAGCTATCGTGCATTTACAACCACCACCTTGGAAGGAAGGGTGCGGAGAACGGTACCCATTTCCTAAAAGAGAAAACTGAGGCCAAGCGAGAGGATCGCCATAGCGCGAAGCGAGGAAGCAGCGGAGCTAGCACGGAAACCCAGGTCCCTGAACTCCCAGCCCGGGCTCTTTCTCACCCCTAACCACAGTAGGACGCAGCGGGGCCGGGGCCTCCGGGATCCGCCTCTCTCCACCCTGCACCCGAGCTGCCGCTCCCGAGGCTCCAGGGAGATGGAGGACTCTCAGACACCTGCAGCCAGGTGACACCGCCGCCCCAGAGCTAAAGAGCGGGCGCCGCCTCGCGCTCATATAGGCTCGCAGCACTTCCGGTGGCGCGCGAGGCTTCCTGGGAAATGAAGTCCGAGGCCCCGGGCTAGCCGGCTCCCAGCGAACCGGCCCAACGCTGGTTCTTCCATGGGCGTTTTCCCCAAGTCCGGAGTCGAGACCCAGGAGTACCGCGACGCGTCGGCCCTGTCCCTCACCCCCCAGCGCGATGAAGCGGAAATGTTCGAGTTGACGCGAAGCCTCCCGCCAGGGGCCGGCTCTGGGCAAGACCGCGTGTGGCGTGGGCGGGAAGCCTCGGTCAGCTGGCGGCGACGCTGGGAGGACCGAGAGCAGGGCGGGCCCGGAACAGGGCGGACCCGGGAGAGCGAAGGCGCAAACATGGCGGCCCCGTTGGCCACAGAGTGAGGAGCGCGGCTCAGACCGAGCTCGCGTCTGTCATCTACTTCCGGAATTTAAAGCCGGTTTCCGGAAACCAGGACTATGTCCCCATGACAACCGACGTTGAGTCTTGGAGGTGAGCGTGGTTGATGAGGAATGGGTAAAGTGACCAAAAGTGAGAATTTTTGTTGCTATTGTTTTGGTTTAGGTTTTTTTGCCAAGGCAACTCCATTTTAAAGTGGATTGGGAAGCGTGAGGACTACTGCTCTGGGGACAAAGGCAAGGCGGCAGGTAGCGATGGACGAACTGTGAGGAGGCTTCATTACCTTGCGAATCATCACTGCCCTAAACTGGACGGGGCGATCGATCGTAGAGCGAGCGATGGCCGTTTCTGTGTAACGGATCCTCGCAACAGCCCTCGGTGGTGGCCTGTGCAGCAGTGGTTAAGAGCACGGGTTTGGCGTCACACCTAGTTATGAATCCTGGCTCTGCTTACTTGCATCCTGGAGGAATGACTTGAACCCTGACCCCTGTGTCCTTGCTTGTAGAATGGGGATAATTCCTACCTTGCAGAGTTGTTGTGAGGGTTAAAGGAAATTATGTCGGTTGACAAGTTTATCATGGTGCTGGTACCTAGGTGATAGCTGTCAGTGTTATTTAATGAATGAGGAAACTCGGGCTCAGAATAACCACGTTCATAATCCAGTAAGGTGGGACTTCTCCGCCAGGTGAGGTGGACCAGGTGCCTTAACGTCTCAGAGCCTCTGTGTAAAATGGGGACTATATGCATTATAATGGCTACTTTTCAAGATGGTTGTAGGATTAAGTTTTTAAATATGAAGAGAGTTTGTAAATTGTAAAACATTTTACAAGTGTTAATCACTCTCTAACAATCCAAAGCGTTTTGAAATTTGTTTATAGATTTGATTCAGCGGTAGGGTCACGGGACACCCCCAGAGCAACTTGTGAGTCTTGGAATATATGAAAATAAAGGCCCAGCTCCACTTACCTGGTGCCACTGTGTAGCTACCATAACCTTAAACATAAAGTTTTACAGAAGAGCACTATTTCCTCTCAACCTTTTCTGCCTACACCACTTCCCACTTTTGTGCTGACATTTTCTCTGCCTAATTACATATCAGCCTATCAGTTACATAAGGGGCAACTTAGTGCAGTAGTAAGAGCACGGTCTCTGGACCCAGACTGCCTGGATCTGAATCCCAGCTCTGCCACTTAATAGTTATGTGACCTTGGACAAATTATTTTACCTCTCTGGGCTTCAATTTTCCCATCTGTAAAATGGGGTAAGTAATGTATTTTCAAGCTCATGAGGTTATTGTGAGGTTTAAATAATGTTCTTGCTTAGGACAGTCCCTGGCATATTGTAAGTGATATATAAGGGTTTGTTGCTATTACTATTGCTGCTGCTACTACTACTACTACAACTACATGACCAAGCAGTCACTCTTCTCTGTAATACCGCCAGATTCCTTTGGTTAGAAAGATCTCTGCATTTAGAAGGTTCCAGGCATGGAGAAAGGTTTAGAGGGTAAGGATCTCTAGAAGAAATGACTTGTTGGGGTTTTTTGTTTGTTGGTTTTGTTCACTAAGGTATCCCAAGCACCTGGAATGGTGCCTGGCACACACTGGGTTCTCAGAAAATGTTTAGTGTATTAATGAATTTCTAACCTTGCCTCTCTTTTTGCCCCAACAGGCCCTTGCTTAGAACAAGGGAAACAGCTCTGAATCAGAGGAACTAGAAGCCTCTCCCTCAGTGGTGGGGAGAGAACCCGCTGTTTTCTAGGGAACTGTGGAATGTGCCCTGGGGGGCCCAAGAAAACAAAAGGAAGATGCTCCAGACCAGTAACTACAGCCTGGTGCTCTCCCTGCAGTTCCTGCTACTGTCCTATGACCTCTTTGTCAATTCCTTCTCCGAGTTACTCCGAATGGCTCCTGTCATCCAGCTGGTGCTTTTCATGTGAGTTCCGTGGGTGGCTCTGGAAAGCTGAACTTAAGCACTTTGAAGGCCCTGACAGTCATGATTTAACATTTTAAAGTCAGTAGAGATGTATCAGGGAAAATAAAATTTAACATTGTCTTGGGCTCTCCAGGGTACATAGATATGGTCACAGGTCCTGTTTTTATATACTTCTAACAAGGGTTGGGGATAAGGGGAGCAGTTTATATAGGGAATAGGGTTAGACTGCTGACCCTTCATTCTCTCCATCTGTTAGTAGAAATATTGTCTTTGCCATGAAAGAGGATTACAAAATGACAAGTTAAAAGGAAATCATATATTTTTTTTTTATTAGAGACAGGGTCTTGCTCTGTCACTCAGGCTGGAGTGCAGTGGTACAATCATAGCTCACTGCAGCTTCAAACTCCTGGGCTCAAGTGATCCTCCCACCTCAGCCTCCCAAGTAGCTGGGACTATAGGCACACACCACCATGCCCAGCTAATTTTTAAAAATTTTTTGTAGAGATAGGGTCCCAGTATGTGCGCAGGCTGGTCTCAAACTCCCAGCCTCAAGCGATTTTCCCACCTCAGCCTTCCAAAGTGCTGGGATTACAAGTGTGAGCCACCGTGCCCGGCTGACAATCATATTAATAATGTATATGAATCCCATAGGATGGCAACTGTTAGCATTTATCCTCCACAATGATTTATAGACTCTACGAGGCAATTTTCAAGGTGAAAACTACAGTCGTGGATATGATCTTCCTTCATTCAACAAGTATTCATTGGCCTGCCAGCCAGTGTTCTAGTTGCAGTGGTAAAGCTGACAAGTTCCTGCTCTCACGGGGTTTCCATTCTAGTGGAGAGGGACAATGAATACACAAAGAAAAATAAGATAATTTCAAATAGTTATGTCATACAGTGGGTGGAGTAGCTGGGGTGGGGAGGAGAGAGCTACTTTAGGTAGTGGGGTTAAAGGAAAGTCTTTCTGAAGAGGGGACATTTGAACTGAGACCGAAGTGGCACAAAGGCACTAGTCATGCAAAGATCAGGGTGTTAAGTACATTGTTATCGTGGTGGATGACATTGTCCGACAGGACCAGGTTATATGACAGACAGGGCTGGCATTTTCTGGACATAGGAAAGAAACTAGTTTCTCAAAAGTGCCTACTTGGTTTACTGAGTTGAGTGTCAGAGCAGGAAAGCCTTGTCTGTGGACTGCAATTCAGCCGACAGGGCCAGTGGGTCATTTTAGCTTCATGTCATTCGGGTCTCCAAACCCATGCTATCTCTTTGGGGGTTTCAGATGACTATAATCACAGGGAAGGACTGACCTCATGGACTTAGGGCCAGCTCTTCCATCCTCACACAGGCCTCCATTTGTCTGTACTTTGTTTTCTACGTCTGCAGCATCCAGGATATTGCAATCCTCTTCAACATCATCATCATTTTCCTCATGTTCTTCAACACCTTCGTCTTCCAGGCTGGCCTGGTCAACCTCCTGTTCCATAAGTTCAAAGGGACCATCATCCTAACAGCTGTGTACTTAGGCCTCAGCATCTCCCTGCATGTCTGGGTCATGGTAAGAGTGGAATTCTGAATTCCTGAATCTTTAAAGGGCTAGGAATATCTTTTCTCTGGGAACTCAGCATCATTCTTTCATATCTCATACAATCCTTAATGGGAAACAGGTGAAATGAAAGTGATCAGAGCTGGAGCATTAGAAACATGAGAATTTCATAAGGCACCTTTGCCCAACCTTATTGTGTTGAAGAACAGCCTTATCCAAGAGTTGAGGAACTCTTCTGGAACATTCAGTTCACCCTTTGCCCCAAACAGGCCTGCTAGGGCTAAAATAGGTAGTTGAATCTGTTTCATCATTAGCTATTTGGGCCAGTGGGTGTTGATAATGGAGTATTCTTAGGTATCGGTGTCACATGGCTAATGCAGTAGGCAGTAGATATTTCTGGGAAGTAGCCAAGCATGAGTGCTGCTTACCCTTGAGTGCTTCATGCCTTCTGTTGGGTCCCTGTCACTTAACTGGAGAACCAGCCTCCAAGATGCCTCCCTTTGGTTCTAACATAGGCCCTCAGATCAGATCCAGTTTTCACGGTTTCAGATTTTTTCTTTTCACAAATTTGTCCATCTCTTTGGGTATCCCATGTGTTTCTCATGTATTCATTTTGATGGAACACATTAAAATCTCAGAGTTCTCTAGTCACTTTTTTTTATATTTTTATTTTTTTAGAGATGGGGTCTTGCTATATTGCTCAGGCTGGGGTATAGTGGCTATTCACAGGCACGATCATAGTGCACTGCAACCTCGAACTCCTGGCCTCAAGCTATCCTCCCACCTCAGCCTCCCAAGTAGCTGGGACTTACAGGTGCGCACCACTGCGCCAGCTCTAGTCACTTTTTTACTAAAGCCCCCTTCTCAACCAAACCCTCTATTAGGTTGCCTTTGTGATTCCACAGAGAGAAGTAGAGCTCCTACGAAAGAAGCAGAGCAGTGCCAAAATCTCCAGGTGCTTCCTGAAGAGGATTCTGTGCTCTGGTTCCTAGAGCCAAAATAGGTCCTGGCTTTGTACTATAAAGCTGTTAATCTGATTAAACCCTGAGCACACCAGAGCCTTTACCTGACAGGAGCTGAGCCTGAGATTTTCAAGGCAAGACAGTGACCAGATGAACTCCTTAGATAACGTATATCATTTCTCCTTGGCAAAGGCTATGAAATGAAAGAGGATAAATAGCTTAGTTCAGGCTGGTCCGAGTGCAGTGGTGTTTACAACTGTTTGATCACAATCAGTTACAGATTGCCTTGTTCCTTCCCCACTCCCACTGCTTCACTTGACCAGCCTAAAAGGAAAAAAAAGAAAAGAAAAGAAAATAGCTTAGTTCACACTTCCTGTCTCAGAGTTAAAAGTATATTCCCTTTATAGCAAAAAAGGGAGCTTGAGGCTCCTTCAAGAAACATTCCTTGGGGTTGTAGAAAGAAGGAAGGTGAGTGAGATGACATGATTCTAAACCAAGTGGCTTCCGTGCAGCTAACCAAGGTGGAGATGTTAGGGCCTCAGGTGTCCATTAACCTTTCTTTACCCATATCTCCTTCAGCATCTACGCTGGAAAAACTCCAACAGCTTTGTTTGGACAGATGGACTTCAAACACTATTTGTATTCCAGAGACTAGGTAAGGACCAGAGTAATGTCAGGCCTCACTTGAGCCCCTCGATCCTGGCTTCCCAGCCCTGTCACAGCTGGCTGGGGATGGTGGGACAGCCATGCCAAGAACAGGAGGGATTACTGCCCTCTGCACTTGCTGGGAGACTGTAGGAAACCATGAGGCAGGGCCCCTCAGCCTTGGTAGGTTCTGCTCTTACCCTGACACGAATGCTCAGGAGCATCCCTAAGGCTTCTCTTCTGCTTGTCATTCACAGCGGCAGTGCTGTACTGTTACTTCTACAAACGGACAGCTGTGAGACTGGGCGACCCTCGCTTCTACCAGGACTCTTTATGGCTGCGCAAGGAGTTCACGCAAGTCCGAAGGTGACCTCTTCTTGTCACACTAATGGATGCCTTACCTTCCTGATAGAAGCCATGTTTGCTGCTCTGCATTGAGGGTTGTCCCTATGCACCAGGAAGCAGCTGGATTTTCCTAGGAGGGCTCAGGCCAGTTGTGTTCAGCATTCAGGAAGGAAGATCCTCCCTCTTGCAAATTGAAGTGTTCCCCAACAGACTCTAACACATAATTCCTGCCTTGCCTCCCACCTCAGTTCTACCTACTTTCCTTCCTTTCCTGCTCCGTACTGTTCATTTTCTCCGCCCCTCTTTCTTATAGAGGGCTCTGTGGCTCTTACCCTTGTGAAGCTTTTCATTTAGCCTAGGACTGGAGGACCTCCCAGCCCCCACTTTCCTTGCACCACACACGAGTGACTGAAGGATGTGAAGAGTGATAGTTATGTGCTCCTGACCGATCACACCTTTGACATCTAGATTTTATACCCAAGGTACTTTTTTTACATTTTATAAATAGGAAATAAATTTCGTTTTTCCATAAATAGTGAAGTTTATCTGTCTAGCTGGATCTCATCATGGTTAAAAGGCGTGCCAAGTGCTAGCTTCAGCATCTACTTGACACATGAGCAGATTGAGCTACAGATCAAATCCAGGTATTTCTTGAGCCCCATTATGAGTATAAGGTATTTTTGTAGAAATTCAAGATGTAATCTGATGCCTCATCCCCCGCCCCTAGAGTTCCAAACTAATACGCTTCATTCAGACTCTGTCTTCCTATCAGAAGTTTAATCTGCCTTCAGAAGAATAAAAAAGTTCTTTTGCCTGTCTTCGCAAAAGAAATTTTTAAAATTCATACGCCCATGGTATCATTTTTCTGTTGCCAGAATAATGTGTAACAAGCCACCACCAAACTTCAGGGGCATATAGTAATAAACAGTTACTTAGCTCTCAGATCTTGGGCTTCAGCTGATCTGGACTGGGTTTGGCTGATTTCAGCCAGGTTTGCTCATGTGTCTGTTTAGCTGTGGGTCCAGTAGGCAACTGTGATGATCTTGGGATCCTTCAGCTCTTGGCTAACTCAGGATGACTTTAGCTGGAATAGCTGGGGTTCACCTCGGGTTCACATGATTGACCCTCCAGCAGACTAGCTGGGCTCCGTCCACATGACCGTGGCAGAGCAGGAGAGAATAAGCCCTAGCGTGCAATCCCATTCAAGCCTTTGCTTGTACTGTGTCTTGTGGTCAAAGCAAGTCATGTGACTGAGCCAACAGTCAAAAAGGAAAAATACTACAAAGTTTCAAGGCCAAAGGGGTGAATATTGGAAAGGTGAAGAATGGGGCCATTAATTCAATGAAGTCCATCACACCAGAGAGTTTCTCTATAAAATGTGTTATTCAGAGACACTTTGGCACAGGGGTTAGCAAATTTTTTCTGTAAAGGGCCAGATCATAAATAGTTTAGATTTTGAGGGCACAACTATGCAACTCTGACATTAAAGCATGAAAGCAGCCATAGACAGTATAATACATAAATGATGTAAATGAATGGACACAGATGTGTCTGTTTAGGTACACTGAAATTTGAGTTTCATATGATTTTCATATGTCACAAAATGTTCTTATGATTTTTTCGATCATGTAAGTTATGATTTTTTCAATCATGTAAAAATGTAAAAATTATTATTGGCTAGATTTGGCCCCCAGGCCATAGTTTGCCAACCCCTGCTTTAGGAGCCTGGAATAAATTTCTGTGGAAAGAGGTAAAAGAGAATATAGGGAATCAGATGTCAAGATTTTAATATACATAAGAAAAGGAACAACATTCGAATAAAATGTTTAAGGCACCAGCCTATCTTCTAATTGGAACAAGTGACCTGAAATTCTAACAAAGCCATCATCTACACTTACTGTATCTTTATCTGTGAAAAAATGATGAACAGTAGCCTGATTTGAATCTTCATAAACGCTGTTAATGGAAAAAACAAACTCTGTGAAATAATTTAAAGACATTTATTCTGAGCCAATATGGTGCCCATGGCCTAGAGAACATAGTCCTAAGAGGTCCTGAGAAAATGCACCCAAGATGGCTGGGTTACAGTTTGGCTTTCTTATTTAGTTTTTTATTTTTAGAGATGGGATCTTGCTCTGTCACCAGGGGCTGGAATGTAGTGGTGCGATCATAGCTCACTGCAGCCTCAAACTCCCAGGCTCAAGCAATTCTTCTGCCTCAGCCTCCTGAGTAGCTGGAACTACAGGTGAGAGCCACTACACCTGGCTAATTTTTAAAAATGTTTTTAGAGACAGGGTCTCACTATGATGCCCAAGCTAGTCTTGATCTCCTCGGCTCAAGCAATCTTCCCACCTCGGCCTCCCAAAGTGCTGGAATTACAGGCATGAGCCACCGCACCCAGCCACAGTTTGGTTTTATACTCTCCAGTGAGACAGGAATTGCAGGTAAAATCATAAATCAATATATAGAAGGTATACATTGGTTTGGCCTAAAAGGGCGGAACATCTCAAACAGGGGCCTACAGGTTATAGGTGGATTCAAAGATTCTTTAATTTGTAATTGGTTAAAGGAATAAAACTTCGTCTGAAAGCTTGGAGTCAGTAGAAGGGAATGTTTTAAGATAAGGAAGTCTGCTAATCATATAGCAAGCTACAATATGCCAACTCAAAGTGATCTGTTAAGCAAGTTAATGGCCTGCAAATGTGAATTAACCTCTGTCCTGCATGGCCTTAGGCCCTGTTTATAATTTAGTATCTTATTGCCACAAAGAGTCTATTTTGTCAGTCTTATAATCTCTATTTTAACAATGCTCAACAGTTGTTATGTCTAAACTCCAAGAGGGAGGGAGTATAAGGGAAGTGAGTCTGACCTCGTTTCCCTTCGTGGCTGGGAATTAAGGTTTTTTGCGGTCCCTTTGGCCAAGAGGGCATCCATTCAGTTGTAGAGGATAAGAAGGTTTAGGATTTTATTTTTAATTTTTAGCTCTTACAGGAATGATTGATTTCATAAATAGAACACTTAATATATTGATAACTGCTGTACTAGAAAACCACTAAATATTTAGAAATTAGATAATACACTTGTAAATAGTCCATGGGTCAAAGACAAAATCGTAAGGGAAATTAGAAAACACTTTGAAGTTCAATGAATGATAATGAAAATTCAACATATCATATATCGAAATGTCTGTGATACAGTTTTTATTAGAAGTGAAGAAAGAACAAAATCAATGGTCTAGGCCGGGTGTGGTGGCTCATGCCTGTAATCCTAGCACTTTGGGAGGCTGAGGCAGGAGCATTACTTGAGGCCAGGAGTTTGAGACCAGCCTAAGCAAGAGCAAAACCCCATCTCTACAAAAACTAGAAAAATTATCCAGCCCTGGTGGTGCACACCTGTAGTCCCAGCTACTCAGGAGGTTGAGGCAGGAGGATTGCATGAGCCCAAGAGTTTGAGGTTGCAATGAGCTGTGATGATGCCACTGCACTCTGGCCTGGGCAACAAAGCGAGACCTGTCTCAAAAAAAAAAAAAATTCAATGGTCTAAATTTTCACCTTCAACTAAAAAAAAAAAAAAAATTAAACCCAAAATAAGTAGAAGGAAATGAGAATAATGATAAGAAATAAACAGAAAATGAACAAATAATAGAGGAAATATGTGAAATCAGAAGTTAATTCTTTGAAAAGTTAATTGACAAGTCTTTACCTAGACCATCAAGAAGAAGAGAAGACACAAATTACCAATATTAATAATGAAAAAGGGAGGCCGAGGCAGAAGGATCACATGGGGCCAGGAGTTCGAGACCAGCCTTAGCAACATAGCAAGACTCCCATGTCTAAAAAAAATGAAAAATGAAAAATTAGCCAGGCGTGGTGATGCACACTTGCTAGCTGTGACAAAATTCAACACCCATTCATGATAAAAATTCTTGCAAACTAAAAGGAAACTTCCTCTACCTGATAAAGGGCATCTATGAAATACCTATAATTAACATCATACTCAATAGTGAAAGACCGAATATTTTTTAAGATCAGGGGAAAAGGCCCAGATAATGCTCATGCTACTTCTATCAACATTATTCTAGATGGCCTAGCCAGAGCAATAAGAGAAAAAAGAAATAAAAGGCATACAGACTGGGAAGGAAGAAGTAAAACTGTCTTTATTTGAAATGATTTAAAAATCCTAAAGAAGCTATAAAAAAGCAGTTATTAAAAGCATTAATAAATTACTTTATCAAGGGCACAAGATTCAAAGATGTCTCTATCATGTAGAGGGGAATTTACAGCCTTAAAATACTCATATTAGAAAAGAAGAGGCTGGGCGCAGTGGCTCATGCCTATAATCCCAGCACTCTTGGAGGCCGAGGCAGGAGGATCACTTGAGGTCAGGAGTTCTAGACCAGCCTGAGCAAGAGCAAGACCCCATCTCTACTAAAAATAGTAAAAATAGTCAGGCATGGTAGTGCACACCTGTAGTCCCAGATACTCGGAAGGCTGAGGCAAGAGGATCTCTTAAGCCCAGGAGTTTGAGGTTGCTGTGAGCTAGGCTGACACCCTGGCACTCTAGCCCAGGCAACAGAGTAAGATTCTGTTTCAAAAAAAAAAAAAGAAGAAGAAGAAGAAGAACAAAGGCTTAAAAAAGGTATGATCGAAGTTTCCATCTCAAAAAGTACACCAAGTGAAACCTAAAGAAAGTAGGAGGAAGGAAATGATGAGGTGCAGAAATCTATAAAATAGAAAACAAGTATACAGTGAAAAAAAAGTCAAAAGCTGTTTTTTAAAACATTAATGAAATTGATAAAAACCTATCAAAACTACTCAAAAAAAATTAAAAATATCAGGAAGGAAAAAGGGGACATCACTGTAGATTCTACAGGCATTAAAAAATACAATGAATGTTATGAAAAACTTCACACCAATACATTTGGAAATGTATACGAAATGAGAAAATCTGTGAAAAACACAAATTTATCCAAAGATTACTCAAGAAGCAGAAAATCTGAAGGGTCTTGTATATATTAAAGGAATTTAGCTATTTTAAACTTTTCTACACAAAAAATTTCAGGTTTAGATGGCTTCATCCATCAATGAATTCTTCCAAGTATTTAAAGAAGAAATGTTACCTATCTTACACAATCTCTTCCAGAAATAGAAAAAGAAGAAACTCTTCTTACCTCACTTTATGAAGCCAACTTAACCAAGTTGATACCCAACTTGACAAGATCCTTCCAAGAAAGTAAAATTACAGACCAGTCTCTCTCATGAACATATGTAAAAACCTGAACAAAATTAGCAAATAAAATCCAGTGACATATAAAAAGGATAATATATCTGTGTCAAGGATCCCCAAGGCCACAGCCAGGTTTGATGATTTGCTGTGAGGACTCACAGGACTCAGCATACAGTTGCACTCATGGCTATGATTCATTGCAGTGAAAGAATACAAAGCAAGGTCAACAAGGAGAAAGGGACATGAGGTGAAGTTCAGAGGAAACCAGGGGCAAACTTCCAAGAGTCCTCTCCCAGTGTACTCACAAAAGACATGCTTCATTCCTCCAGCCACGAGTTCTCATAACATGTGAAATGTTGTCAGCCAGGCACAGTGGCTCATGCCTGTAATCCTAGCACTCTGGGAGGCTGAGTGGGGAGGATCACTTGAGGTAGAAGTTCCGGACCAGTCTGGGCAAGAGTGAGACTGCGTCTCTACAAAAACTAGAAAAGTTAGCTGGGCATGTTGGCATGTGCCTGTAGTCCCAGCTACTCGGGAGGCTGAGGCAGGAGAATCACTTGAGCCCAGGAGTTTAAGGTTGCAGTGAGCTATCATGACGCCACTGCATTCTAGCCAGGGTGACAGAGCAAGACTGTCTCAGAAACAAGTTGGGGGAAAAAGGCTGATCACATAGGCACCCTCTGCCTAGCATGTACCAAAATTACAGACTCCCAGAAGGAAAACAGGTGTTCAGTATAAGCCACACTGTACAAACAGTTTGGTACAGTGAGCCACTTTGGATTGGTGGGAGCCCTTCCAAAATCATTCCAAGTTCCCAGATGCCAGCCAAGGGCCAACCTTGCAAGTGGGCCTTTCTAATGATAGCAGTCTCAGGCCTGCTATGTTAACTTTTTCTGTACAATATCATAACCAAATAGGTTTATTTCCAGGAAGCCAAGGTTTATTTCCCAGAATCAATATAATTCATCATATTAGTAGAATAAAGGGCAAAAATCATATGGTCATTTTGATAGATGCAGAGAAAGCACTTAGTAAAATATATCATAAACTTTTCAGCAAACTAGGAAAATGAGGGAATTTCTTAACCTCATAAAGAGTATCTGGCCGGGCGCGGTGGCTCACGCCTGTAATCCTAGCTCTCTGGGAGGCCGAGGCGGGCGGATTGTTTGAGCTCAGCAGTTCAAAACCAGCCTGAGCAAGAGCGAGACCCCATCTCTACTAAAAATAGAAAGAAATTAATTGGACAACTAAAAATATATAGAAAAAATTAGCCGGGCAGGGTGGCGCATGCCTGTAGTCCCAGCTACTTGGGAGGCTGAGGCAGGAGGATCACTTGAGCCCAGGAATTTGAGGTTGCTGTGAGCTAGGCTGACGCCACGGCACTCTAGCCTGGTCAACACAGTGAGACTCTGTCTCAAAAAAAGAAAAAACAAAAAAAAAGTATCTACAAAAAAATCTATAGCTAACAGATTAATGGGGAAATACTGAACACTTCTTCCTGAGGTTAGGAATGAGACAAGAATATCCATTATCACCACTTCTATTCAACATTATACTGAAAGTCCTAGCCAGTGCAATATGGCAAGAAAAAGAAATTGAAATTATAGGGATTGAGAACTAAGAAATAAAAATATCTTTATTTGCTGATGATGTGATTATGTATATAAAGAGCCAAAAGAATCTACAAAAGCCTATTCAAAATAATCTATTTAGCAAGGTCATTGCATGTTGGGATAGACAGTTGGCCATGTACCCTAAGCACCCCTGCATGTTTTTACTGACTGTGCCAAACCGAAAGGCCTGACAGTTCCCTGACAGTGAGAACATAGGTAATTAAGTAGCCTAAGACGACCATGGCGTGAATATCGTGTAATTTCTTCCTCTCCAGTGGAAGGGGCCTGGCTTTATTTGATGCTTGCTAAAAACGGTGCTGAGCCCTTGGCCCTGGGTTCGTCAGCTGTGGCATAATCCATTGCACGTGCCACCATCTGGGCTCATTTTGTCACTTGTAGGACTTGAGAGTAGGGGAACCAGGCTGCCATGCCAATGTTCCTGCTGTTTGCTGTGCTGTGAGTAATTCAGTCTCACTGTCTACTTTTGGCATCTCTGGAGTTGTGGCATACTCTGACAAGGATCAGCGAAGTTTTTCTCAGAGTTTTTCAGTAAGGCCATGGGCCATATGGTCTCTGTTGCAACTACTCAACTTCACCATTATGGCATGAAAGCAGCAATAAACAATACGTAAATGAGTGGGCATGGCAATGTTTCCCCCAAAACTTTATTTACAAAAACAAGCAGTTGGCCCACCTTCCTTCCATCTGAAGCTTGGAGCAGGAACTTTTTTTTTTTCTTTTTTTACATTTATTTTAAGAAAGAGTAGTAAATATTTTGCCTCCTATGAAATACGCTAAGGAAAATAAACACTTCACCAACGAAAGATCAGAGCAGGAACTTGTCTAATGTCTCATGTTTAGTAGGCAATGGAGATCGGGGTGCAGAATCCAGAACCCCTTCCACCTTCCCCTCCTTGCTATGCACTTTGCTAGACTGACCCTAAAAAAATGCACTTAAGGACTTCCTTGCTCTCCTGCTTGCAGTTAAATTCTGCCAAAGGGAGGCACAGAGATCTGAGAGTGGAGAAGAGGAAGGTGGTTGGAGGTCAGGCAGGTATTTACCCACTGGCTCCCGGTGGGAGGCCTTCTACACACCCACTGCTCTGTCCAGGCTCAGCGAGTTGCCTTTCTGCCCCACTCCATCCCAACTAGCCAGGCGTGCAGCACGTTCCTTAAAGGTTAGTCACTCTCCTCAAATTACCTGGTTTGAGCATGCCATCTGTTTCCCCGCTTTATTTCCCCTGACTGACAGCCGGCTAACAGCCAAGTAGCAACACGCTTATACTGCTCCAAATCGTCACCGGGCTTCAAAGCCCAAGTCACAGGCCATCTCTTGGAAACTTCCTTCAGCCTCCACCTGGGAGTACTGTACTTTGTCCTCTCAACTCCCACTGCACTTCATGGGTCACTTTAGGGGTCATCTTCCCTCGTTCTTGTTTGTCGGAAAGGTGGCTCTATTTCCGACTCATTTTGGTCTCTACCTGGTGCTAAACCCCACCAGGCATTTGCAAAGAACCATTTCTCATTTTCAGAAGAAAAGAGAATTGTGGGAGTAGAGCCTATGTGCCAATCCTCTGGTCACGCGGCCACAACCGGCCACTTCTGCCCAACGCCTTGTAACCCGGGGGCGGGGGAAGCCCGAGAGCTGCCCCTGCCCAGGGGTCCTGCGGACGACGGCTTCGTGGGCGGTCACTGTTCTCCCCTAGGTTGGGAGAAGGGACATCCGAACCAAAGCCACTTGCGGTCGGCCGCGAGATGGCCCCCGCCCGGGTGACCATAGAGTGATGCAGGCTGGCAGAGGGGACACAAGCCCGCGCCGCTCCGTCTCGGCTTCCGGCAGCGCCTCGCTGCTCCGGGAGCGGGTGGTGCCGCGTACGCAGTTTCCATGGGGACTGAAGATGGCGGCGCCAGGTGAGATTGCGGAGGTGTGTGAGTCGCTGGCCCTTCTCCCTTCAGTACCCCCTGCCCCCTTCTGTACCAGAGCTCGACCTCGATCCTCCATCCTTGAATGTTAGGGATACCGCTCCTCCCTTGACCAAAGCGGGGTTTCGCAGTCCCGCCCACCCTGGGTGCCTCAAGGTCTCAAGGTGCGGGTCTCAAATATCCCCAGATCCTCGGCTGGGCCTATTCTAGGCTGGCATCGAATGGTCCAGTGCTGGTTTCTGTGCCCCAGTTTTCCCTCCCAGACAGTGACGGGGTTGATTGGATCTTTGAGGACCCTTTCAGCTGTGATGTCCTCTGAGTTACCGCTTGACTTTCACCCCCGAAGCCGAAAGAGTCGAGTTTGACGGTGATTCCTGGGAAAGAAGGGGAGTGAAGGAAGCCTCCTTCACGCCCACCCCTCACCCCACCACCTCATTATCAGCAATCAGAAGTGCCCCCCAAGTGGCCGGTCCCACTAGCTGTGACCTCGTGTTTGTTTGCTCCGAGTTAGACACCGAACAAGGAGCAGAGATTGAGCTGCCCTCCCGCCCATGCCACTTCTGTATGCTCATCTTTTCAGGTAAAAGGTTGTCCTCAACCCCCCTGGAAATCCTGTTCTTTCTAAACGGGTGGTATTATGCTACCTATTTCCTGCTGGAACTCTTCATATTTCTATATAAAGGTAAGGCTTGGGGCTTGACGACCCCTGCCCCAACATTCCTTCCTGACTTCAGCCCAGAGCCAGCTCCCACCAAGAACCTTCTTATTTTTCCTTCCTTTCTGCCCTCTGCAGTTCTTTTTCCCTGTGAGGCAGAAGTCTCTTCATCAGGTGGCTTCTTTGAGAATGATTCTGTAGGAAGCTCCTCAGCAAGAATTTCTTGTGTTTAGGAAATGCCAGCTTCTCCATCCTTACTCTTCCTCCATCACTTCTCTTTGCTGAACCCCACGTTAAGACCATTGGTGACACTCAGAAACTCTTTAGTGTCCTGGGCACCCATGTACATCCAATCATTTTGAAGAGTGGAGTCCCCACAGACTTTTGGAGTTTGGAGTAAAATGTCACAATAATGAGCCTGCCTCTAACAGACGTGCTTGCACTATGAGTGAATGTATCCTGCAGCCGTAGTAATGCTCTCATCTCACTAACTAGTTCATGGAAAGCTGAGACTGATGTCCTCTTTGTTCCCAAGTGTTCTTGTGGGTGCTGTTGTATGTTGTTTGCAAACTCTGGCTTTTGTATTGGCAGGTCTCCTGCTACCATATCCAATGGCCAACCTAGTACTGGATGTGGTGATGCTCCTCCTTTATCTTGGAATTGAAGTCATTCGACTATTTTTTGGTGAGTGTTGTCCAGAGAGCATTTCCATTCTTTATGAGATGGTATCTGTAACTTGATTAACAAGAAAAGTACACAATCTAGGTTCACTATCAGAGATCGGATCTGGTGATATATCCCATTACTTGCTATCTTAAGTTTCAAGTTGCTGCTTCATATTTTGGGTCAAAATTTACCTGATTGTTGCTTTGTAGTCCTGAGGTGGGCAGTAGCTTAGGATATTAGAGGATTCCTTCCCAGTTGCCTCACTGCTACAAGAGTGCATAGTTCCTCCCACTGTTTTGCTGGGAGAATAGATTCAATTGTAACTCCGTGTCCAGGCTGGCAGTAGATGCCTGCACAAATCAGCACTAACGTGCCTTCTACTTCTCTAACATCTCCGTAGGATGAGTTTTATAACCCCTGAAATACAGAGCAAACCCCTTATTAGTTAGACTATCTCATCCCTGAAAACAATGTTAAAGCACAAACTGAGGAAAAAAATACTTGCAACACATTGAAGAAAGTATAAAGAAGGCTCACATAAATCACCAAGGAAAAGGCAAAGTAATTTTAAAAATTGGTAAGGGACACTAATAGGCAGGTCACATAAAAATAATTACAGAGAACCAATAAACTTGACAAGATGCCCAAACTCACTAGTAAAAAGCAAATTGTGGCCAGGCATCGTGGCTCATACCTATAATCCTAACACTTTGGGAGACTGAGCGGGAGAATCTCTTGAGGCTAGAAGTTCGAGGCCAGCCTGAACAAGAGTGAGACCCCGTCTTTTAAATAAAAAAAAAAAAAAAAAGCAAATTGAAACAATAAGGTAACATTTTTCACCTATCAGATTTGCAAAGATAAAAATATTTACAATTCTAAACAGGAACACAGCAGGAAAAAAATAAAATAATTTACAATACCCAGTATTAGAGAGGGTGTGGGGAACAGGCTATTTATATACTTCTGTGGAAATATAAATTAGTACAACCTTTTTGGTAATAGTTACTACCATGTAAAATTTTTTTTTTTTAAGGCAAGCACGAAAATGAGGTTTATTGAGGAGAGAAAGCTAAGATTATAGGGCAAGAGCAAGATACAGGTTTACAGAGCATGATACATACACCACAGATGACAGTCAGACCCATTGTCACAGCAAAGGATGAGCAAAGGGAAGGCAGGAAAAAAAAAAAGCACCATGTAAAATTTGTACTTCTAGTCCTAACAATTTCACTTCTAAAACTGGATTGAGAAAACACATACTTCCACAGATATGCAAAGATAGCTACATGAAGATGAATATGAATATCAAAACACTAGAAACAACCTAAACATCTATATTATACAAAGTTAAATAGATTATGGTATTGATCCAATTCAGTCTATATAACCATTAAAAATGAATTAAGGTAGTTATATGTTTGGAAAAATGTGGGAAAAAATAAGTTGTAGAACAGTATATAGAATATGATTCTATTTTTATAATAAACAGTAATATGTGAGCATACACTTATAAAAAAATCTGAAATATACATCATTCAGTAATAATAGTCTTCAGGGGGTGGGGACATGGAGGCCTTTTGCTTTCTATATTCTCTAAAATCATTTTCTATATTAGTTGAAAAGTTATCAATGATTATATATTATTTTTATAATTAGAATTTTTTTTTTCCTAACTAAAGATCCCTATGTCCCTTGAGTAGGAGCCAGGCTGGAAGCAGGACCTCTGGAGTAAACGACTCCAGTCTTATAACTTTCCCAAAGCCTCACATTTTTAGTACAGTGGGGCCTCACTTCCATATGCGCGCATCCCCATTCAGGGTCATTTTTCTCTGCCTCACCAGCCCATCACATCTCACTCACCTTTCCCCTGAGGCCAGGGAAAGCAGACCGCTTGGAGGTGACTCCATGGGCTGTGTCTGACAGGTACAAAGGGAAACCTCTGCCAGCAAAAGATGTCACTTGGTATTAGCGTGGCTTTGACCTTCCCATCTGCCATGATGGCCTCCTATTACCTGCTGCTGCAGACCTACGTGCTCCGCCTGGAAGCCATCATGAACAGCATCTTGCTCTTCTTCTGTGGCTCAGAGCTGCTACTTGAGGTGCTCGCCCTGGCCGCCTTCTCCAGGTACTGCTGCTGAGGGACCATTTCCCATCACCAGAGGGTTGGGATCCCGTCCCAGGGAGGGATTCATTATTCTTCTGAAGCCTGAGGGATCTAGAAACCTTTTTTCTAGAGGGGGAAAGGAGTGTCATAGGACTGCCTTTTCCGTTTAGGGTAGGTAGAAAATTTCCCACTTAGGGAAGATATTCTCCTCGTTCTTTGGGGCCAAGAGGTTTGGAATATAGAACAGACCAGGCCAGCTGCTCTTGTTCACTGGTCTTTTAACATTTTCTTTCTTTCTTTCTGCCATCAGTACGGACAGGATTTGAAGTACAAAAATTTCAGCCAATAGCCCATCAAGCTGACACCACACATACTTCTGGTACTTTAGTCACACCAGTGAGAATTGGTGGGTCAAGTTGTCCTGGGAAAGGTTGTGCAGCACAGACATTTGGGCAACCAACCCAGCATAAGGCCAGTGGGCACCATCTTCCAAACCAGGACCATCAACTGAAGAGACTCTTGTATACTCCAGTATAGGGAGGGGCAGGGCTATCCCCATCCTGGCCCTTCTCAGAACCAATTCCCTGCTGACCTCAAGTTCACCTCTTTGATCATTGTGGCCAGAGCATCTTCTGTGGACCATCTAGGCTCCTTGGGCTTCCAGCAGGACTTGAGCCACATGCCCCCTTCATGTGCTGTGCCACACCTGTCCTGCATGAGCACCGAGAGCCTCATGTTCGTGGGCTCCCAGAGTGATGCAAAAGCCTCTCACCGCATTCCTCAAGGAGACTGAGCTCCAGAACTTTTTTAGTAGCTCCTAGTGTTATTTTTCTACTCTCATCATGAAACAAACATTAATTTTATAATAAATATGTATTTTCTGTTGTGGCGGTTGCAGCCTTTTCCTTATGGCACCTGTCCCTCGAATTTCATCCACTTCAAGAGAGGGTAGAGACTACCCCAGCAGTTTGTTGTTAGGCCGCGCTTAGTGGTACACTGTGGACACAAGGGCCGAGATGACCAATGACTTTCTACCCCAAGCTGCAGCCTGAATTAGGCCCTAAAGGCACCACTATCCTCTTTTATCTTCTTCAGGTCTGCCATCCTATAAAAGATTGCTTATGTGCCCCACTTGTGCCCCAGAGTTAGCATCCTGTCTCATTCCTCTTGCAGGTAATTGTCAGTTCCTCTCTAGGATGGGTTATGTGTAACTGGAAGAAGCATATTCTGAACTTACCAAAATTTTGATTGTTTTTTGGTCATTTATTTTAAAATTTTGAGTTAACATAAAAGGAACACATACTTTTTTTTTTTCTTAAGCTGAGGACCATCACTTTAGATGAGTGTATCAGTTTTTTCTCCAACTAACTATCTTTAAAATTGTTCCTCATCTTCCTTGGTAGTGGCCATGTTTTTTAGCCTCAAGAATCCACTTTAGGAAACCTTGAGGCCCTTCTGTTTACTCTCAGATGAACCCTAGAATATCTGCTCTTACTCAGAGTAAAAAGTAACTGACCACTAAATATTCTGTGCTGGTTTTTAACTTGCCTTATTTCCTGTCATCAGGCTCATCCTCATCCTATGAGGGCCTCCACTGTCCAAAGCACTGATGCTTTTCTTGTTTTCTATCCCTCTGTGCCCTTGCCTCCCAGCTGCCCTTGAGATCTACCGAAAAACTATAGTAGACAGGTCTAATCAACTATGAAATTGTAACAAAAAGTCCAACAGGAACTGCCCTGATTTTTCAATCACAGATCCCACTAATACAAATTTTTTGCTGCTTCTCTCACTGCTGCTTTGTCTAGCCCTGCTTTGAAGAAATCACTGGTATCAAACCGGAGAAGAGCCCATTCTCCATGGCCTCCCTATTTCATTTAGAGGTTCAGTGGTTAAGGTACCCTTCCAGCAACACGGATAAATGAATGGAAGGCTCAGCTGGATGTTTAGAAGTGGCTTATAAAACCTACATGTTAGAATTCAAAGGGACTTACATTAGCGATCAACTAAGTCTAATCCCCCACTTTGCAGGCTTAGAGGTAAGGAAGTAACATAGCCAGCACCACACAACTGGTTATTAACAGGTGGAACTAGAAGCCTTGCCTTAGGAGGCTCAGTCGGGATCAAGTAAATTCCATTGCTCAACAGGTACCAATTGAGGATGAGGATAATGGTTGAAAATGCAGCTATGGCCAGGTGCAATGGCGCATACCTATAAGCCCGGCACTTTAGGAGGCTGAGGCAGGAGGATTGTTTGAGCCCAGAAATTTGAGGTTGCAGTGAGCTACGCTTGCAACATTGTACTCTAGCTGGGGTGACAGAGCAAGACCCAGTCTTAAAAAAAAGAAAAAAGAAAAAGAAAATGCAGCTATGATTAGGAATAGGAGGTCCTCTCATTTACTTCATAGTTATGTGGAAGTTTAGTGCATTGTGCTTCTGGTGGGTTGCTCCCTGAGTGTTCATTCTTCCTGAAGCTTATTGGAGCCACCAGTGTAGATGCAGTTAGTCACGCCAGAGTAGAACATCATACAACAGAAATGGAGGCAGTGGAGGATGGGAATCGGCATAGTCTTTCAGGGTTAATGTGGCCAGAGGCTGTGCTCACCAGAGTCAAGGGAGGCTACTATAGCCCATATAGACCTGGAAGCACCACCATTCTGGGACAGCGGAGAGGGCTGAGTAAAGGATCAGGCCCTGGTCACATGCTGGTAGAGGCTACTCACACTCATGGCTAGAACCAGCAAGTGACTGCAGTGGCCACCTCTATGAGCTGAGGCCTGGCCCGGTTTCTGAAACATTTAGGACACACAGATTCAGGTTTCTGGCTCCATACCGCAGCAGCAACTCGTAGGAGACTATTAGTGATCCAATGCCTGGCAGAGTATATTTAATCCATGTAATGATCCTATGAGGCAGAAGGAAATCGCCTCACAGTGTCATGTGTCCAAGGGCATTTAGCTTAGAAATAAGAGTTGGGATTTGAACCCAGAGTAACCTAAGTTCCTTCCCTTTCTACACCATCATGGTACCTCCTAGATGAAACTGAATGTATTTATGTCTCTAAGCTAGCAGTCCTCATGCTTGTTTACGTAAGTCACCTGGGCTATAAAAAGCAGATTCCTAGACCTTAAGTAGAGACTGATGCAGCCCAGGAATAGGCACTTTAGCACACAAGGCACATAAATGAAATGCAGGTGACTGTGGAACCCACCCTGAGAACTCTGGTTTACATTCTGAGGCACTCCAACTATTTTTTTTTCTCCCTTTAAGTTTCACATAATCATAGACCCTCTAAGGAATTTCCCCTCCTAAAAGTTATTTTTACACTGATCTTGCCTTTTCTGATACCAATACACATCCGGTCTGTGGGTCACCTTTTCATCATCTAACCCTCTTCTTGTTCACCTGGCTTTTTAAAAAGCCAAAAGCTTTTCTGGAATCCCAACATCACCCCACACTTCTAAGCTTTCTGATCTGTACTTCCTCATATTTAGGTAGTTTACAAAACAAATTCACGTATGTTATCTTTGATTCTTAACACATCCCTGTGGAAGGCAGAGAACAGCTATTATTTTCATCTTACAGATGAAAAAGAACAGGGTTATGCTGCTTGTCCATGGTTAAGTAAACAGATGTGGAAGTAGGCACTAGCAATCAGGTTTTTTTTTTTTTTTTGAGACAAAGTCTCACTTTGTTGCCCGGGCTAGAGTGCTGTGGCTTCAGCCTAGCTCACAGCAACCTCAAACTCCTGGGCTCAAGTGATCCTCCTGCCTCAGCCTCCCGAGTAGCTGGGACCGTAGGCATGCGCCACCATGCCCGACTAATTTTTTCTATATATATATTTTTAGTTGTCCAGATAATTTCTTTCTATTTTTAGTAGAGACGGGGTCTCGCTCTTGCTCAGGCTGGTCTCGAACTCCTGACCTTGAGCAATCCACCCGCCTCGGCCTCCCAGAGTGCTAGGATTACAGGCGTGAGCCACGGTGCCCGGCCTGCAATCAGGTTTTCTAACTCCTACTGGAGGATTCTTTCCTTTCTGGACTTGATAACATTGGAACTGACTGTACAAGGTAGGAAATCTGCTCTGAAAATCTCTTAGGCATCTTGAAAGGTAAAGACTGACTTGGAAGTTTTCTTTAACCAGGTTGTTTAGATGGCCAAGGAAAAAAGCTAAACCTCAAGGGATGCCTCCAAAGGTTTGCACTAGACATGCAGGAGGCTAACCACAGTGAACTAAAGCCATAGAGAAGCCACTGCCCAACATGCAAGTCTGGCTGAGAACCTGGGGTTTCACTGCCTTGCCGCAGTGTCTACATCAGCCCGTGCCCACGCCCCAGACACCTCAACAAATCTATTCAATGCAGAATCCATAAAACAGCTCACACCCCATTTATTATTTAAAAATATTTTGTTACAAAAGGAAAAAAATACAATGCAGTATAAAAGATTGACAGCGTCATCAAGTTTATTACACAATTTTCAACCTATCAGAAAGACAAACAAATCACTGACAACAGGGGGATGGGACCTTGGCCTTTTTGAGGGTTGGGTTTTTTCCTTTTGCTATCAGGAAATAAAACTAAAAATTGTGTCATTGAGTAAAAACAAAACAAAAATGGGGAGAAAAAATTCTCCGGGTAAACTGCATTTCTGGTATTCTCTATATATTTTTTTTCCTTAAACTGACACCTTACTTGGTTTTCTCTACATTTTAAAAAGACACCCGGAGCTGCTCTCGAGGATAAGCACATCACTTAACACTTGGCCAATGGGTGGGATGCCATGTTCTGAAGTGGAGGTGGGGATGGGGTTGGGGGACAGGGGAAAAAAAGCTACAACGTGTAGCCTCTGTCCCAAGGGAATGTGCCTCTCCAACCCTGGGGGGGACTCCCTCAGTGACTGAGGGCTATGTCAGAAACGTGCTGGGAACAGGGGAAAGGTTCAGTCCAATTCAGTCTCTCCCCTGAGCCAGAAGGGTCTCCAGTGACCCTATGTCTCACATGCCAAGTCTTATCTCACATGCCACGTCTCATCTCATGTTAGATGTCATGTGTCCTATAGATGCATGCAGAAGTAGCATCACCCCATGGGTACTGCAGGACCCTGTTGTTGCCTCCTCCTTCAGCAGCAACCACGTCACAATTTGGATGTTATGGGAAAAGCAATTCCATTTGCCTGTGTAGAAAATGGCTCCCAGAGTGCTGATCCTTAGGAGTCTGAGCTGAGTTCGTTCAAGCCAGGCTCCATTTCTTTCTGCTCCTTATCAGAGGCAGGAAGTACCTCCAAGCAGAGCAAGAGGAGCTATTAAGTCAATAGTCAAAAGGTGAAAAAAACACCGAATTTGTGACTTTACCTGCCTACTAGTGCCAGGCTATCTCACAATAAGTAAAAGTAATGTACCGGGGGATGCAAGCCCATGCTTACATCAAACCTGAAAAAAGAAAAGCCTATGGAAGTAGGCCATACCCTGCCCAACTTGCCTCCCTCCCCACTCCTCCTGGTACTTCACAAGGGTCTTCATTGCTGAGGTCCCAATGTCCCCATCTCCCAACGGCAATACCTTCCTCTAAAACAAGGAAGCAGCCTTCTTGGGGAAAGGGCTCCATGTGTTAAATGGGAAAGCCCCAGGGAAATGGAACAACTAAGAGCTGGTTATTGCAAGAGGCAACCAAGCACTAAGCAGCAGAGGATGGTAATCGGCTCTGCCAGGCTTCCCAGCAGAAAGCAACCTCACAGGCCTTCTCTGCTTAGGAGGGGCAAGTCCACCGAGAAGGCTGGGCAGCGGAGAGGTGAAAGGGTTCAGCCCTCTGGGAGGCCAGGGAAATAAACCGTCAGTATATGTGAGGGAAAAGCAAGAACAGAAGTAGTTTTTCATAAGGTAATTTCTGTT